GTTCAGGTGTGTTTAATTGGGGTTGGAGCTAAACTCTGCAGGACACCGGCCCTCCAGGACCGAGTTTGGGCACCCCTGGTTTAGAGCATAAGAAAAAATTAAATTTTTGAAAAATTATATTTTATTCATATGTTTATTCTCTGTAGAGGACACCGGGACTTTAAAAAGTCCTGTTTTTTAAGAAAATTATTATTATTATTATTATTATTATTATTATTATTATTACTATTATTATTTAATGCTCCCCACACTAAGGGAAAAAAATTAAAGGTTCTTTAGAGAACACAATTATATTGAATCTATACGAAAAACCCCTTTCGGAACCTTTATTTATATTCACGATACATTATTTGTTACAAAATGATCACATAACTCTGTTGATATACCCATTCAGTGTCCATGAAGTAACCCAAACTGCCAAGTCTTTATGCAAAATGTGTGTAAAATGGCCATAAACGAGTTTTTCCATTATATACAGTGTATCTATAAACTGTATCTAATTTGCATATTCATGTGTTTTTGGGGCAACATAGAATGGACAAATAAGTGCAATAATGGGAGTAATAATTAGCAATTTCATAATAATATCTAATATTTAATAGGAATATTGATACATAATTGTTTCTCTATTCATTTGTTGTGTCTCCCAAAATGTGTAATAAACATGCTTTAAGTCCTGGTGTCCTCTACAGTGGACATGTCTGAAATCGATATCGTGTTTCATCAGAAGCTCATATTTTGATTTGAAACCCCGTAGCATTTTCCTGAGATGTTGATTTATGACAAACAATTTGAAAATTAGTCAGATTTAAATGATAATTACAAAATATTATCATATTTCCATAAGGGTGTTACACTTGATCACTAAATTAATGTCAGCCATTTTTAAAGACCAAGGAGAGGGAGTGGTCACGGTGAAACATCCAATCATTTGGTATCTCTGAAAAGCCCCAAATGTGCTCTGTACAGGACATCCAGACTTAAAACTGTGACATGTAACGTCTCAGAGAAATCACTAAAACATAATGTCCTCTACAGAGGACAAAACTCCATAGCTGGTAGTCAGGAGGATATATATATATATACATACAGTACATATTTTGCATAAATTATTCTATGTATTGGGGAAAAAAACACAGATGCCTATTATATTCATTTCTTAAAACCACTATCCAGAACAGTTTGAAGGTGAGAAGTGACATGAAATAAGTCCTAATGCCATACTGATTAAATAAACTACTATTATTAATGTAAAATGGAAATTATGTCATCATTTACTCACCCTTATGTTGTTCCAAACCCATAAGACTTAATTACAATGTTTAAAAAAAAAAAAAAACTCCATTAAAAGTCAGAATCAGAAAGAGCTTTATTGCCAAGTGTGTTTACACAATGAATTTGTCTTGGTGACAGAAGCTTCCAGTTCAGAAAGTACAGAAAAAAGTCCAGGTAACCAAAACTTCGAAGATTCAACAAGGTCATAAAGTCATCGTAAAACAAATCCATATGAATCCCCTCACATTTGAGCTTCTGTGTTTACCATATGTGATGTGCATGTGTGTCGATCACTGCTTAGATGCAAATAAAAGCCTAATTTAAATCTGGCCATCATATAAAGCAATCAAATCTCTTCACAAAACTTAGATTAAACCACTCGGTCCATATGGATTAATTTTATGACACCTTTATGATCTTTTTTGGATTTTCTAGGATTTTCTAGGATCTTCAGTTTTGATTTTATGGTGACCTTAATCAGTTGGGTACAATTATCAGCCAGTGCAGATTAAACTAGTGATAGACTGATATATCAAAATCTCTTACATTCATATATGCTTTGCAACGTTATTTTATGATGGGTGAGTATGATTTTGATCACCTTCCAGCTCCTCACCCCCCTTCCCCCTATAAATCTCAAAATGTGTGTGTGTGTGTGTGTGTTTGTTTGTTTTTTGTTGGCCTACATTTTGTCTTCTAGGGAGACCCTCAAATTTAGCAGTTTACTTTAGATTCTTCTCTAAATAAGTATTTCTCAACTCCAGTACTAGGGACCACCTGGTTCCTGATTCAACTCTTCAGTTTTTTTAGTGTGTTAATTAATGAGACAATCTAAAACATTCTGGGAGGACTTGAGTTGGGATATAGATATCTGATGTTCTTGTGCCATTGAATTACACAACACAAGATGTGCTTTTGGAACATTCTCAAAGCTTGCTGGATAACATGGATCATCAGGTTTTAC